GATATCGTGGTTGGAGAGTGTAAGGTGATAGTCTGTGCAAGCAGGAACGATGCCATTGGAAGGGTCCTGCTCATCCACAGTAAATTTATGTATTGGTGATCGTTTGAAAGTTCTGGAGATGAAGCATTCTGACATATCCCCACCATCTCGTTCTCTTCCAAAGCCTTGAGAAAGTTCTGTATGGACCATTGTCCAATGGAATGTGGTCACAGGAATATTTCTCTATACTTATCTCTTGAGAGATCGGTGGTACAACATCATTCCACTGAGTGGAGAGTTCCATATCAATGTGACCAGACTCATCTCTGCAACACAAGGATGGCAGAACTTTAGCATATCGTCCTGGGCCTTGGAATGTGCCAGTTTGCAAAACTCAGTCAAAGACAATTCCTTGAATTGGAAGAGCAATAGGTTTCAGGCAGACCACAGTGACACCTGGTGTTCATGCACTAATGCAGCCGAACACAAAGTTGTCATCAGGATAGGAGTAGCATTGTATACGTTGTTTTTCTCAGCGACCCTACATCTGTTGTCATTGGCAATCATTTGCCAATGAGTATGAGTGTCCATCTAAGAAATTGTGTGTCACTTGTCATGGGTTCTGTGGGTTCTTGTGTGGCTGATGAGCCTGATCCTAGGGCCACCTGTCTGACCACACATCTGGTAGGTGTTTCCAGGAGGTGGAACTGGTCCATAACCTTGAGATCACAAGCATTCCTTTCTCCTGTTGTTTTTCGATCCTTCTTCTTGCCATCAAGTGCTCTCAAAGAATTCTTTCCTTTTCTACAGGAGGGTTCCTAATGTCAGTTTCTTCTGACTGAGAGTCTCCTACACATTGACCTCTATGTTGCATGTCTTGAGGAATGCCTTCAGGGAGCCTTTGAAATTCTTCCTTTGACCTTGTCTGATTTGAGGGCCTTCCTTGAGTTGAGTGAGGAAGATATGCTTTAGTGCAGAAAACGCATTCATCCTAAGCACATAGGAATTGCTTTTGGATGATCATGACCTCGATGCTGGTGCTATTGACTGCTTCAAGAACACTGATGTTAGTATGCCAGTCTTCCCAGTTGATGCAGAGAATCTGTCTCAAACAACATTGATGGTTCTTCTCCAAGGCCTTGTGGTGGTGCCCACATATTGTCCAATTTCACAGCCATATTGAAGAGTATAAGAAATAACTGTCTTACACAAAAGGATCTTGGATGTCACGGTTGTTGAAGGGTCACAGTCTGAGGTATCTAAATGTGAAGAGATCTGTATGTTGTGTTTCTATCATCAGGGTTCATTTTTGATGTCCAGGCAATGCAAACAATTTTTCGGATGACTGCCAGAGTTCAGGAATGAGGTCTGAACCAGACCTGCTCCAGGTACAGCAAAACACTTAATGATCGGTTCTTGACCTAAAATGAAGAGGCAACCTTACTCTCACATTCATACTTCATGGCTTGAAACATGGCTACTATCTCCTTTGTTATTTGGGTACATGCTCTGGCCTATCTAAAACAGATCGCAAACACCTGATAGCTCATATTGAGAAGACAATCATTTGGTCAACTTGGTCTCATTCCCAACGTACTTTTTCCTTGATTTACTTTAGCAAAATGGGGTAGAGAATGCTGACCTGGCTGATTTCAGGCATGTTTGGAAAGATTTCCAATTTCCACCAAGCAATTAAAACAGTGACACTGATGCTTGTGCAGGACATTTGGATCCAATTTCAAAGCCACCCCCACCAACGCTTCTAAATCCCATTTGGGTTAGCATATACATCATGTTGGTGTGTGATATTCTGTGCAGATGATGCAGGTCTCCACTCCCCTGTCTGACACAGAAGTGATTGTAACCCTGAGCAGTGCAAGTCTATCAGAGATCTTCCTGCCGGGTGCAGCATAGGAACTGAAGTTTGTACTATTAGAGAAATATTTTTTGAGAAACTGATGGGATTGACGTCTGATGAAATCCCCAGGGTCTGATAGTCTACATCCCAGAGTGCAAGGGGAAGTGATCCTAGAAATATTGGATGCATCGGTGGTCTCCTTTCAGGATCCTTCAGACTCTGGAACATTCCCTACATGTTGGAAGGGAGCTAATGTAACCCCACTATTTAAAAAGGAAGGCAGGGAGAAAACAGGAAATTAAGTCTGATGTGGGTAGTGGGGAAGATGCCAGAGTCCCTTATCAAGAATGTTATAGCAAACAGTGAGAAATCTGTTCCAGAATTAGGCAGTAAGCATGGAGATTTTTTTCTTAAAGGGAATTCATGCTTGAGAAATCTACTGGAATTCTTTGAGGATGTAACTAATAGAGTTGATCAGTGGAGGTGGTTTATCTGGACATTCAGTACATTTTTGACGAAGTCCCACAGAAGAGATTATTGTCTAACATTAAAGCGCCTAGGACTGGGGATTAGTATATTGAGATGGATAGAAACTTGTTTGCAGGCAGGAAACAAGCAGTAGGAAAAAAAAATGTCTATTCCTGAATAGCAGACAGTGTCTATGTCCCACGGAGAACATTTCTGGGACCCCAACTATTCACAGCATATGATTTAGATGAGGGAACTACATGCAATAACTCCACATTTTCAGATGACGCAAAGCTGGTGGTTGGGTGTGGTGTGACAAAGCGAAGATGTTGCAGTGTGATTTGGACAGATTGAGAGGGTGTGGAAATGCGTGGCAGATGTAGTATAATATGGATTGTGCCCTTATGCAGCAAATTTTGGAAGGCTGATTATTATTTGAATGGCTGTAAATGTAGAGAGGGACATGTTCTTCTTGCACCATTTGCTCATAGATCATAGAATCCCTACAGTGTGGAAGCAAACCCTTTGGCCCAACAAGTCCCCGCCGACCCCTGGAGCACCCCGCCCAGACCCATTCCCCTATAACCAAACTAATCTACACATCCCTGAGCATAACGGGCCATTTAGCATGGCCAATCCACCTAGCCAGCACTTCTTTGGACTGTGGAAGGAAACCCACGCAGACACGGGAAGAACGTGCAAACTCCACACAAACAGTCGCCCAAGGGTGGAATCAAACCCAGGTCCCTGGCGCTGTGAGGCAGCAGTGCTAACCACTGAACCACTGTGCCACCCTGTTGAAAGTAGGCAGGTGCAGCAGGCAGTAAGATTTGAAAATACTAGCTAAAAGCTATCTTGTTGCCATTAGACAGGATATTGATGATACCACACCCTGGAGTATTGTGTGTAGTTTTGTCTCCTTACCTAAGAAAGGATGTTCTTGATATAGAGGGAATGCCACAAAGGTTTACCAAATTGATTTCTGGGATTTAACTTATTAGGATCACCCTGGAACAAGCCGTAGAGCACAGAGTCCGGCATCGCAGAGCTGCTTGGGAAGAATCTCAACAAAAACCCGTGCATTTTTCGCCAGACTTCCTTTGCATTGGCACATTCCAGAAGGTTCTGTGTGGCAGCCTTTCCACACTGACCACCATCCCCTTGCAGCCGCTTCGAGGGCAGCGTGTAGTTGTACAGTCTGACCAGGCGTACATGAAGGATCTCACAGATAGAGCCCTTCTCACCACCAGCCAAGCGATGTTTTGGTGCTTGGTGGAAAGTTATGGTGATGAGGCATTCTGCAAATGTTTCTGAAGTCTGTTCTGGGAACAATGCAACCCTCAGGGGTTCGAGGATGTTGGTGCTGACCATTTCCTGGTGGTCAAAGGTGTTTCTCTTCAAATTTCTTTAGGAAGGATAGATGGAACGGTCCAACTACTTGGAGTGTTCTGCAGCACTCAGGCAAGTCCCATCCTTCTCAATACCAGGAACAGTTAGAACTTCACAATCAGAATGAGGGCAATGTCAGGTACATTCTTCCCACCTACACACCCGACCAACCCCACTTATCCAGAGTTTTGTACACAGTGTTCCTGTGGACACAGTCAATCTTAGACCTCCAGATGAAGTGGAAGATGGCTTGGATGACTTCAAAGGTGCAGGTTCTAGGAGTGGGCTGGACCTGTGCCACATACAACAACAGAGAGTACCTCAAACCTGATGTTAGGTTTTTACTGGCAATGGAGAGGGAGCTGTGCTCTCAAAGACCAGTTTCTTTTTAACCTTGGTGATGCACGCCTTCCAAGGTTTTGTGCATGTTCCAACCCCTGCAAACCACATTCTCTGCACCTTCAGGTAAGCTGTCCTGACGGTGAAGGGAACAAAGGTTCAGTCAGCCCAGTTTCCAAAGAATGTGGCCTTGCTGTTGCAATTTACCTTGGCTCCAGAGGTGAGTTCAAACTGATCACAGACGCTCATGAGTCTGCGTACGACAGCGAATCTGAGCAGATAACCATGATGCCATCCATGTTTGGGGAGGCTTTGACCTGCAAGTCACCCCTCTCAGGCTCGCAATCTTCCTGATGGATTCGGCAAAAGGCTCTATACAACACACAAACAAGGCAGGAGAGAGCTGACAGCGCTACCAAAATCCGGATCTGATCGGGAAGATTTCTGAGTCCCACCATTGATTGAGACTGCACTAATGACGTTGGTGCAGCAGAATCCAGTTGTGAATTCCTTCCCAAATCCCATTTTGGGGAGTAGGTCCCAGATGTAGGTGTGAGATATCCTATTAATATCCTTCTCCTGGTTCAGGCTGATGAGGTAGACGTCCACCGCTCTGTCCTGACTTCACCTGATGAAGTGGCATCGCTTTGAAAGCTTGTGATTTCGAATAGATCTGTTGAACTATAGGTAGACAAGCAGGAGGTTGGAAGAAAACAGCAGGCCAGGCAGCAGTTGGAGGAAAGGAGAAGTCAATGTTTCGGGTATTACCTTTCTTCAGGACTGGCTATAACCTGGTGTGTTGAGACTTCTGACTTTGTTCACCCCAGTCCAACACCAGCACCTCAACATTCTGGAGTTTGGGCAGTTTCCACCATCTCTCTCTTCTGAACACCTTCAAGGATATTCCCCTTGACTGCTTCCTACCAGTCCGATGGAGATTGAAATAGGGGCTTCACGGCTCTCCAACCTGTGTAATCCCTTTTCAACTCCTCAATGTTTTCTCGGGTCAACGGTTTCACATTCAGCTTCCGCGTTCCCTTGCTGGCCCGCTGGTTATCCTGTAGGTGACAACCGGCCAGCAGGAGGCAGTGGTCAGAGAAGACAACAGGCTTGATCTGACGGTGGATCTGACTGAGAACGTGTGGGACGCACATAGGAAATCTATCACTGAGCGGATAGACCCATTTGGCGCAGCTGGTTATATCTATGGTGCGCTCCATCTGCAGGGGGGGACTGAAGACGTCGTCCAACTTGGCAACTTTAACTGTTTCCATCAGGCTCCTGTTCACTGTCAGCCCCTCTGGATGGTCCATCTGCATCGATGATGAAGTTGAAGTGTCCGGCCAGAATGACCGGCCTGGATGTTACCAGCAGCAGTAGGAGCTGCTGCAGGAGGGCCAGCTGCTCACTCTGTACCACCGGGACTTACACGGTAATTAGTCTCAGGGGAGCGCCCGCCCACCACCTCCTTAGCTTCCGAGATGGTGAACTTAACTCTTCACAGCAGATTGACCAGGCTGGAAGAACAGTTATAATTTCCCCCCAGCCAGATCGGAGGCCTGTGAGCCCATAAGCTCCAACACATTTTGTAGCTGCTGAAGTGCCGTTATTCCTGCCGGAACAAGAGGTCCGTTTTAACGTTAGCCTGGTAAACCAACATGGAAATACATCACGTAGTAGAGTTAACGCTACGTACGTTAAAACTGGCAATTTTAAAGAGTTTCATTTTAAGAGTTTTATGCAATTACCTGTAGACCCAATATGCACTCACCCACGGTCTTGCCATTGGGGGACTTCCTGCGTCCCGGTGATGTGGGCGAACTGATGGACACTCTGTGCCCCGAGGTAGCCGCCCTTTTCCTCCCTGGGGGGATTGCCCTGATCCGGTGTCATTGGGCCGGAATGAAGCCAGGAGGATCCAGTTCTGAGTCGAACAGAGGGACTGTCGTGCTCTGCTCCTGATTCGGAGAGTCCCTGCTCCGGGTTGTTTGGGCTTCACCGGGGCGGGCTCGGAATGTCTGGCGTTTCCGGGTTGGGGTGGGGGTGCGGGAGACGGGGACGGGGACGGGGACGGGGGCGGGGGGGGGGGGGGCGCTCCTCCTCTTCTGTCCGTGGTACTGTACCCCCTTTTCTGTTGGTGTCCATCCCTCTTTCATCGTCAGAGGAGCTGCTGGTGTGCCCATCATGCAACTGCCTGTTTCCATTTCGTTGTGGGACCGTGGGGGCCCGACACGTTTTCCTTTCGCGGTTGTTCCTCACTGGTATCCGCTCTTCCCACCACACCGCACCCCCTTCCCACCCTCCAACCCCGCCGCCCTTTGTTCCTCCTCCTCAATTGACTCTGTTCAGGTGGAGTTTGGGTCAGTTGCTGTGCCTCAGCGCTGGCTACCTCTTCCTCCTCTCAGGCAGCGGGAAAGACAAGGAAGTGAAGCGCGAGAACTATCAGGAGAACCTGAAATTGTTTTGCGACATTGACAAGACGGGTCCTGCTGAGAAGGAACTTTTCAATTCCGGTGCCCCTTCTTCAGAACTCAGAGGTAACTTTGTTTCTTTCTCCACACGTGCTTCCAGGCCAGCTGAGATTGTCTAGCAATTTGATTTTGTTTCACTGACCGCAGGCTCGGCGTCTTCTGCTGATCAATGAAGCTGTTGAGATCCACGAGGACAATAAACAAGAGGTTCGCTTGAGTTGTTCTTCCGCTAGTTTTAATAAACCCTTTCCTTCTGTGACTGACTCTCCTGATCTTTTGGAATCTTCTTCAAAATCTTTCAGAGAAGAAATGACTGTTTTGTGAAGTGCAAACAAAAGAAGGAAAATGAAAGATTTTCCGAAGCGAGGGTGAGGTCTCCCTGTGCTGATTTTCCTGGGGCCTCGGGTAGTTTTGTTCCCTTTATCGCGGGATATTAATGATGTTTCACTTTCATTTGGTAGGAACAGGCGAGCAGTCTGCAGACTCACATCACATCCGAGTTCACTAAAATGCACCAGATTCTCACTGAGAAAGAGCAGCGTTTATTCCAAGATCTCAGAGAAGAGAAAAGGATTCTGGAATCAATGGAGGAAAACCTTCGCGAGATTCAGCAGAATTTAAATTCTATTGAGGGAAACTCTCAGAGTTGCACGAAGTGATGGAGCAAAGAAGTGGGATGATATTTCTGAAGGTGAGAGAATATATTGCGGGTCAATTTAGTGGAAGTTCGCTGTTGCATTGGAGGAGGTGCAGCCCACATGCACGGGATGGAGCAGTTTAGTTATGAAGAGAAGCTGGATAGAGCAGACAAGGACGAGAGGAGACCTGACTGAGGACTATAAAAAGGGTGTGGGCAGGATGGACAGAGAGGAGCTGTTCCCATTAGTCGAAGGGTAGAAGGGTCAATACCGAGAGGTATAATTTTAAGATGAATGGCAGGAGGTTTAGAGGGGATTTTGAGAAAGATCTTTTTCCCTCAGAGGGTCTGTAATGCATTGCTTGGAACGGTTTGCGGAGGGAAACCTCACAACCTATAAAAAAAAGTCCTTGGATGAGTTCTTGAACTGTCATAAAATTCAGGGCTATGGGTCAAATTCTGGAAAGTGGAATGAGTGTAGATAGGTCAGTGCAGGCTCGATGGGCCGAAGGGGCCGGAGGTTTCAGATTCTCCCGGTGTCGAGACCAACAATTTTCAGACAACCAGAACCTTCCAAGAAATATTAACCAACGAATCATTTTATTTTCTGTTTGTACTTTTCAAGATCGTACTTTGTGCATATTAGCTGTTCCATTTCCCTAATTCACTGTGGGTGCAGTTTGTTTCTGGGATGGGCTGAGGTGATGGTCTCTCGTTCTTCCACGATACGCGGCTGCCACCTGCTGACAGAGCCCTAGAACGGCAGGAAGGAAACGTTCGTGAAAAGAGCGCAAAAGATGAAGACAGAAATTGATGGAAAAGCTCGGCAGGTCTGGCAGTATCTGTGGAGAGAAATCAGAGATAATGTTTCGGATCCAATGACCCTTCCTCAGACCACAAAAAGTGAAGAATGTTTCTGATGGATAATAGGTAGGGACTGTATGACTGAATTGCTTGGCTGCACCTTTAGTGAAAAGCAGAAACAAAATTAAATATTTTGTGCATTTAGGAGGATGTCACCTTTTTTTCATCGAATTTCCGCAATCGCCCGCTGTTTGTGAAATCCCAGAATTCCGGTATCTTCCTGGGAAAAAAAAAATATTGTGAGCTTTATACTTGGGTTGTCATTCTTTGCGTGATCCCCAAGTTTGGTTTTCTCTTAGAATATTGAATCAGACAAACGTTTATGGCACAAAATGGAGCTATTCGGCCCATCAAGTCAAAACAAGCCCACTGCAGAGCATGCCTTTTCTTCAAAAAAATCTCAATCTAGATGGTTCCATCACATTCCGGCTAAGTCTCCCGCATTTCACCCGCTGTCAAACTGGTGAAAAACTCACACGTGTCCCATACACCCAGCACCAAACCCCTCCGCTCCCCGTATTCAGTGACCTACCTGGACTCCTGGTGAAGGAGAATCTGGATTTTGATATTCTCCAGCTTACTTTGAAATCCTTTGACCTCACTGCTCGATACATTTGCTACATTTGCTCCAGCGCAAAACCCTCCGAGATATCTGCACTCCTGTAACTCTGCTCTCTGGAAGCAGCCTTGATTTGAGTCGTTCACTGGTGACTCTGTCTTCTGGTTGCCTGGGTCCCAACCTCTAGGTTGCCTTCCCGACCCCGATCCCTTCGCCCCTCAGTATCTCGACTTCTCTTTCTCCCTACTCCCTTCAAGCATATCTCTTTGACCGGGCTTTTGTCCTCATGACCTTCTAGCTCCGAATGGGCCTGGCTGCTGGATTTTGTTTTATAAAACTCCCGTACAGTGCCCTGGCATTTTTCGATTCAGTTAAAGGTGATATATAAATATAAGTGATTGTTGTCTACAGTATTTGAGGCCTCTGTGCACGATTCTGGTCGCCCTGCTACAAGAAGGATATTATTAAACTGGGAAGGGTTCATAAAAGATTTACCAGGATGTTGCCAAGAATGTTAGACCATAAGACATAGGAGCAGAAATTAGGCCATTCGGCCCATCGAGTCTGCTCCACCATTCAACCATGGCTGATAAATTCCTCAACCCCATTCTACCACTTTCTTCCCGTAACCCTTGATCCCCTTGATAATCAAGAACCTATCTATCTCAGTCTTAAATGTTCTCAATATTAGGTTTGAAATATAAATATAGGCTGGATAAGCTGAGACTTTTTTCACTGGAATGTAGAAGGTTGAGGGGTGACCTTATGGAGGTTTATAAAATCGTGAGGGGTATAGATATGGTGAATAGCAAGGGTCTTTTCCCGAGGTTGGGAAGTTCAAAACCAGCGGGCATATTTTTAAGGCGAGAGGAGAAAGTTTAAAAAAAAGACAGGAGGGGCAACTTATTTACATAGAGAGTAGTTCGTGTGTGGAATGAACTACCAAAGGAAGTGATGGATGCAGATACAGAGACAACATTTAGAAGGTATTTGAATAAGTACATGAATAGGGAAGGTTTGGAGGGCTATGGACAAAACGCAGGCAAGTGGGACGAGTTAAATTTGCGAACATGATCGGGTGCACTAGTTGAATCAAAGGGTCTGCTTCCATGCTGTATGACTCTATGACGATGACTCTTTATCCAATGTGTGTTTCATACTCTCAAAATAACACATTATGTGCATGATGTTATCATATAACCCAGTGTGAGCACGGCACTGTAAAGCCTAAAGACTTTGCATCGTTCTATAAATAAATGACATTTAATACTCTGCCGCCCATAATCTGCAAATGTTGACTTTTTTTTGCAGCCTTACCGTTTACGGATCGGTTATGAGCAGGACCGCCCATTCTGATCCAGTAACAGCTCCGTGTTGTGAGTGTCTGTCTGTGTGTCCCTGATACAGTGGGTGTGTGTCAGTCGCTGCCAACGTGACCGGGGACTCGTGCTTTCCAAAAATGTAACCATTTACACCCCTCTGTTCAGGCTCACTTGTCCTGACTCTACTCATTTCACCATCCTTTTCGAAATTCTCCCGAGGCCTATTCCTCTAAAGTTCACTGTTTGTATTTGAATTATTTTAGGAGGAAGTTTGTAGAAAGACGAGACACGATCTTTATTGAAACGCAGTTTAATGAAATTGCTGATGAGGATCCAACATTTCTTGGATAAAACCGAGGCTGTCGGGGCTGGGGTGTGGGGGAAATGCTGGGATACTGAGCACTGAAATCAATTCTAAAGTATTCGTACAAAGACAAATTCATAACATGGGCTGTTTAATAAATTACAGGCTGAATGACGATGAACTCAGTAGCTGAGGGCGCCCTGTCAGAAAGTGTAAAGGGACTGAGCGTGGAGAGCAATGATAGATATTAACAACTCTGGTAAAACTCTGGTAATAATTCTGCTGATCAATCTTGCTCCGAAAGGACAAAGACGGCCCAAGGCCTCGTATTAAATACTCATATCGCCGGCTGTTGCTGCTTTGTCACATTTTGCTCTCTGTGGGTTCCTCTGAGTGAAGTTCTCAACACTGTGTTTATTAACAGTGAGGGGGTCAGTATAAACAGAAGAAGAGAGCACGGATCTCAGGCTGTGAACCAGAAGATGTCGAGGTGGTCGGACACCTGAGCAGTGTGTTAGCGGGAGGACACACAGACTTTGGACAGCATGTGCAAACAGGCAGTTAACAGGTTGAGTGGATCTATGCTTCTCAGTCAAGAGGAGTGATTGCAGAAAGTGCAAGCCTTCTCTGGATAATGGGGGCTGTGTCGTGTTTTTTTTGTTCGAGGTTCAAGCAGCATGGGAGATAATTAGGCAGAACTTTCACATGATCGGAGGATCTACAACCAGATAGGGATAGCATCAAACTGACAGCAGTGAAAATGAGAATTGAGATCAGCCGAATTATTTCAGTGGCCCCCACTGATCGAGCGAGCAGGAAGCCAATGAATCCGTTGTTTGCTCCGGGAAGTTGATCAAAGGCCCAGGGCAGTCTGAAGGGTCTCACTGCAACAATACATGCCACAGGTTTCCACAGGCTTCCTCGCTCCAATCCCTCCGAATTTCTCTCCCCTCTGTCTCCTCTCTCCTCCAGTCACTCGTCCTTCCTTAATCCACATTGCCTTTTCTTTTCCCCACGCTCTCTCTGCCGATCCACTCCAGGTGAACTGTCTATTCCCCTGCCCCAAACCCACCTCCGACTCTGCCCCCCTCCTTTCTCTCCTGCTGTCTGCCCCATTCCTGTCCCCGTTCCCCTCCCCCCCACCCCCCCTCCCTTCTTTGTGGTCTTCCCTTTTTCACACTCACCTGCGTTCTGGCCACTCCCCGCCGCCTCCACCCCTCTCTCCCCACCGTTCGCTCTCCAGCATTTGACATTTTCTACACCCTATCCCACCGTGCTGTCTCCATCACACCCTAACCCAGTTTCCACCCATCCACTCTTCCTCACCTCACTGCCTCCGCTGTCTTCTCGTTTCCCCCTCACCCCCACAACGACGCCACCCGGAAACTGGAGGAGCAGCACCTCATATTCCGCCTCGGGAGCCTACAACCCAATGGTCTCAATGTGGACTTTACCAGCTTCAAAATCTCCCCACCCCCGACCTCATCCCATGACCAACCCTCCCTCTCATAAACCCACTCCTTGACCTATCCGTCTTCTCTCCCACCTATCCGCTCCTCCCACCTCACTGACCAATCCCCAACACTGCCTACCTGCACTCACTATCACTATCCCACCTACCTTCCCCAGCCCCACCCCTCCTCTCTCTATTTCAGAGCTCCCTTCTCCTGCCCCATTTCTGAAGAAGGGCCCCGACCCGAAACGCCAGCTTTCCTGCTCCTCTGATGCTGCCTGGCCTGCTGTGTTCCTCCAGCTCCACACTGTGTTATCTCTGACTCCAACATCGGCAGTTCTCACTATCTCAGATCAACAAGGAGCTCTATAGGGCTGAGAGAAAGAAGGAGAGGGAGACAAGAAACAAATAGACGCTCAGCTGTATAGAGGGACTTACTGGGCAGAATGAGCTGGGAGCTGCAGGAACCCGGGAACCTTCCTGCCTGTAATGTTACTCCACAGGCGGAAGGTGGATTTGCATGATTGTAGGGGTGTATCTGGGCACGGCCGCTGCTGCCCAGTGTTCACATTAAATTGTACAAGTTTTTTTTAATTAAAAATGGATTTGAGGTATAACTACATCGCAGAAGCCTTACCATCAGAAACTCGAACCTGCTGCTGGAGCATTTAATACCGCTATCCTTACTTCTGCAGAGAATCTATCCTTGTTAAAGTACAACCGGGTTTCTGAATACACCGTGCTGAAAAAAAAAATGCTGGACATTATCGCGGGTCAGACAGCATTCATAGAAAGACAAGCTAAAACCCCTTTTCACCCCGTGATCCTCAGCCGCCGGAATTAAACACTCTCCTGTAATATCCTTCCATTACTTTAGATCTCTGGCCTCTGGTATCTGCCCTCTCTGCTGCGTGTATGCTGTTTACCTAGGCGTCACAATTTTATACGCCTCAAACTATGCATCTCTTCAGCTTCCTCTGTTTCAAACGAGCCTCTCCCATAACTAAAATTCTCCAGTTCTACAACACTCGTTTTAAACCTCGTCTGTACCCTCGCTGATGTGGTCACACACTTACTGCAATAATTCCAGATGTCAGGTAAAACCTACAAAAATCTTAATAACGCTCTGATTCAGTACAATTGAACCAAACCTTGCAGTTACTATTCAGTCAATACCTCTCCCAAAAAAAAAAATCAGCGCTGAAGTTGGCACATAACTTTTCTATTCACTTTCCAAATCTATCTATCTATAATGACTGATCTTCTCGAGGGCCGTCAGGCATGTGCAATAAATACTGCCTTTGCCTGTGATGCTCAGATTGCTTGATCGATTAAATAATTGAGATCACAAGGTCTTTAAAAGATTCCTCTTTCACATTTATTCAGATGTGATCGATGTTTTTAAATTTCTACTTTGCAATAGTCCTCTCCACAGAAGATGATGCTGAGTTATCAACACTATTTTGTAGTTATTTTTAATTAGCCTGTTCAGACATGCTGTGACATCATTTCAGAGCAGGAGAGATTTGAACCCAGACATCTGGCTCTAATAACGGGGTGCCACGTCAGATGGTGAAGTCTGAAAATTGGGAATTAAGAGTCTAATGATGACCATGAAATCATTGTCGATTGTCAGGAAACTCACTTACCTTACTGATGCCCTTTGGGAAGGACAAGGTCAGAAGTCACATGACACCAGGTTATAGTCCAACCCGATCAGGTGAAGTGATGAAGGAGCGGTGTTCCGAAAGCTTGTGATTACAAATAAACCTATCAGACTATAACCTGGTGTCATGTGTCTTCTGGCCTTGTCCATCCCAGTCCAACTCCGGCACCTACACACTTTAGGAAGGAGACTGCTGTCCTTACCTGGTCTGGCCTACATGTGATTCTATATCCCAGCAATGTAGTTTATTTTTAACTGCCCTCTAGGCAAACAGGGGTGGGCAATAAATGCTGGTCCAGCCAGTGATGCCCACTTCCCATGAACAAATAAAAAGAAACAATGTTAACCAGAGCTTCCATCCCAGGTACTCAACACTTGCACTCCCACTTGATGTGATCCCATTCACAAATATTCACAATTCATTTGTTTCCCTCATTCAAGTCATGAATGGATATTGTAAGTAGTGTATTGTAAATAACACATTACAAAATTCAGTGGATTACATAGAAAAAGCAATCATCTGTTAGTCCTTTGAGTGCAGTGCATGTGTGGCGCAACATGATTTATATAGAACAGCCCTATTGTTCCTGAATGGGCTGGATGGTATTCTGCTCACATTAGGGACAATATGTCCTCATTAGTAGTGAGCTGAGTAACATTATAATTTTGTTTTCGCTCTCTTATTTTACAATAGTAAACATTCAGTTATCAAAAAAGCCATCATTGTAGTAATTTTCCATCTTCAAACAACTTAAACTGACTTTAGATGCATTGATGCAAGAAACATCTGTGCAGGTGTTTTCTTTCTGACACATACATCAAACAAATACGAGCTGATGAGAGTTCCTTGGCTTGTGAAGCTCATGGTGATTCTTTCTGTGTCATTTTGTTTCACTATGACATAGAAATCCTCAGAGAATGAGCTTTTTTGGATGCCTCCACTTCAAAACTTGTGGGACTAATGACCAATCAAAGAATCTGATCAGTGTGTTTCCCATAGAAACTGGCCATATTATATATTCCTGACCAATGTGCATCTGATCTTGGTCATTGCTTTGCCATGAAGCTCACAGTTACAGACCATTTGAAAGGTACTTTAAAAGTATAAACCCTTCCAGAGTACGTGTTAATGAGTCACTCATTGGCCAAAAAAACTTGGATCAGGCCAACCCATTAACGTACAATGATACAAGAGTTAACTAGCTCTTGACTGGACAGATAGTTAAGGGTGACTTGTCCCAGCCAGGCCAAAAGAACGGGTAGACTTTATCTGAGAAGTTGCCTTGAAATGTGTAGAGATGGAACATGTCATCGGCATTGTAAAAAGACACCCTTCTTGCCTCCATCTCCAAGAACACCCCAATTGTTTCAGGCCTGGTCGTTACAGTGATTTTGGAGCGTTCGGCATCACTTATTCCATATGGTTCACCGTCCTGTCCGATTGTCCAGAATCCAGCATCGGAACACAGGTTAGGCATGCCCTTCCGCTGCACTGATCCATTGGCGACGCCCACATCCCAGTAGGACTTGTCAGCTACCTTCACCTCCCAGTAATGGGCACCCTTCGTGAAACCTTCTGAGCCCAGCACGTACGGGACAGAGTCGAACCGCTCTGGGTTGTCGGGGACATTCTGTGCCTCTCCAGCTTTCACACTCTGCCTGTCTGGAGATACCGTCAGACTCGCGTTGGCTGTTTCAGGGTCCATCTTTACATTGGCTAGGAAAGAACACAAGAAGATGAGAAATAGGAGCAAGAATAGACTGTACAACCCCTGAGCTTGCTCCACTGCTCAGTACGATCATAGCACCCCACAGTGTGGAAAGAGGCCATTCAACCCATCGAGTTGTCAATGATCCTCCGAACAGCATTCCACCCATAAAACCCACAATCCTATCTCCATAACACCCTATATAGAATGGCCAATCCATCCAGCCTGCACGTCCCTGGACTGTGGGAGGAAGCTGGAGCACCCATACGAAACCCACGCAGCCATGGGGAGAACAGGCAATCTCCACACATCGCCGATCTGTCTCAAGTTCCTGCACTATCCAACAAATCTCAATCCCCTTCCCTCTGCAATTCAACCAATTAGCTCAAGGGAAATTAAGGGTGCCAGCCTCACCAGCAATGCACACATCCTGTATGAGAAAAAAAAAACACAATATTCTGACAAAAGCTCTATCAGTCTCGGCCTTGAATATATTCAATGATTGCGCATTCCCTGCTCTTTAGGCTACAGAGTTCTGAACATCAACAAATCTCAGAGAGAAGATATTTTTCATCTCAATCCAAAAGTTCTGACCCCTACTCTGAGAGCATTTCAAGCCAGATGGCAAGGTAGCTCAGTGGTTAGCACTGGTGTGTCATAGCTCCAAGACCCAGGCGTAATTCCACCTTGGGTGACTGTGTGTGTGGAGATTGCACATTTTCCTTGTAGTTGTGTGGGTTTCTACCAGGTGCTCCAGTTTTCTCCCACAGATCAAAGATGTGCAAGTTATGCTGAAAACTGCAGCATAACGTATAGGAATATGCAGGCTAGATGGAGTTTTATTTTTAAAAAATGTATTTGTGGGATGTGGGCATCACTGGCTGGCCAGCATTTATTACTCATCCCAAGTTGCCCCTGTGAAAGTGAAGGTAAGATGCCTTCTTGAACCACTGCAGTCCATCTGCTGTAGGTAGTCCCACAATGCAAATAGGGAGGGAATTCCAGGATTTTGACCCAGCAACAGTGAAGGAGTGGCAATATATTTCCAAACCAGGATGGTGAGTGACTCAAAGGGTAACTTAAAGGTGGTGTTCTTCCTATGTATCTGCTAGCCTTATCCTTCCAGATGGTTGTAGGCTTGGAAGGTGCTGTCTGAGGTTCTTTGGTGAATTTCTGCAGTGCATCTTGTAGATAGTACACACTGCTGTTACTGAGGTAGAGGAAGTGAATGTTTGTGGATGTACTGCCAGTCAAGCAGGCTTCTTTGTCCCAGACAGTGTCAAGTTTCTTGAGTATTGTTGGAGCTCCACCCATCCATGCAAATGTGCAGTATTTCACCATACTCCTGACATGTGCATTGTAATTTACGGATAGGCTTTAGAGATGGCATTAACCATGGTAAATGCGGGGTTATGGGGATAGGTAAGGGGCCATGTCTGGGGGTGATGCTTTTTTGGAGGGTCAGTGCAGGCTCTGAGCCAAATTGCCTCTTTCCATACTTTAGGGACTCAGCCCCCCACTAGCAACCACCCCCCACTCTAACCCCAGCCAGGGAACCAGCCTCTCTCAGTGTTTACTCTGCCAAAACTTCTCAGAAAATTTATATATTTCAGTGAGATCTCTTCTCATTCTTCTGAACTCTAGGGAGTATCGGCTCAAACTTTCAATCAATTTTTCAAGGCAGGAGCTCTCAAGATTGACAGGACGTGTCAGTCAGGAGGCTGAGTGTTGTGAGGAAACTCTGACTCCATGGGTTCCATTCTTGCTTCTGACTCATAGTGTTGTGGGCTCAAGATGCGTTGAAAGATTTGAACAGTGATTTCCAGGCTGACCTCACTCTGTTTTGTACTGCTGTAATGCTGCACTGTTAAAGTGTGACATTAAAATCATGGCCCCTTTCTACCATACCTCCTTCTGCTCACTCACTCTCAACAAAACTTCCAAGCACTGATGTGCTTGCCTCATAAAATGCTTATAGGATCTTACTGTGTTGAAATTGGTCAACATAATTGCCAATATTTAGGTCTTCAGTCATGAAGAACTTTGGAACATCCCAAGGATATGAAGAATGTTCTGTAAATATATTCCATTCTATCTCTGACTGGCTTTGCATAACCATGAATTGCCAAATGATTGTTAGGCTTGTTGCTAACAGTTCTAAATGAGATTTCCACATCCATTGTGAAGGGTTTTTTCACTTTCACAAACAGCATATAAAAGCTACATATTGCAAGAAACTCCATGTGCTCTTTCAACATTGCCAGCTTATTTACCAGCCTCAGTGTCTGCAAGCCTCAGAAAAATATATCCACCAAAAGGTGTGATTCAGCTATTGGAAATCATTTGGTAAATAACCTAGATGGTGCTACAAGCTACACTAGAAACCAATTTGACATCATCAGCTGGGCACACACAGTCTGATGCATTTACACATGCAAAAAGCTACGCATATAAATACACAGGACCCTGTTGTATGTCGGCAACAGGAATTTGCACGTACATTTCACCTTTTGTCATAACCCAGGTTCACAGAGATAACTGATGCTTTGCTACAATCCCATGGCAACTCCTTGGCCAATCAGAATCAACCTGCATGGTCTGAGAATAATGATTGACAGTTAACTATTCTTGGTGCACTGCTACAACAAAGATGGCGCAACCAATTTGCACCTTCCTTTCATGCTGTATAGAACAGTATCTTTTATTACAAGTCTGTACTGATTCTGCTGCTGCACCCAAAGCCTAGAGGAGATGAGTTCAAATCCCACCAGGGTAGATTGAGAATTTGAATTCAAATTAGAAGAAAAAATGAGGAATAAAGATGTGATGTCAGAAAAAGTGCAAATCGAGCTGTCAATTGTCTTAAAATCCTAAGGAGGTCTTGTGTTACAGTGAGTAGACTCCCTGTCTCTGGAACACTTCACAACTTGTGTCTAGGGAATTTCAATCATAATATGGCCAATCAAATTGTTACGCAATCTTGTAAATTCTTCTGATGCGCCAATAGCAGGAGGTAAGGGTGGGAGTGTTTTCCGGTCAGCTAGTTTGATGTAGATAGCCTCCTCGTGCATGACAATGCCTGCCCACACCCATGCCCACACACACACACACACACACACACACACACACACACATACACACACACACACACACACACACACACACACACAGACACACACACACACAAATTTGGTACAAATGTTCCTGGTTAGGGCAGTCCTATACATTGAGAATCTTACCTGCATGGCTCCGTATCCTGTTCCACTCTGCAAAAACAGTAACATCTGTAATTAATAATCTGTAATACCCTCAAATAAGACAACAGCCAAAGTACATTGTGGTTTTCAGTAAACCAAGGATATGAGGTTGACCCACAGTGGGTAGTGACGGGCAAAGACACACAAACACAAAACCCTTGGATTAAATTAAGTAAAAGTAGCGATTAACATAATTTTGATCTTCACACCCTCCTATTCTACTTTTTTCAACGTTATCCTGGACAAACATCAAACAATGCACATATGCTAATAGATTCATTCAAGTCATACAGCTGTACAACACAGAAACAGACCCTTTAACCCAACTCATCCATACCAAACAAATATGCTGAATTAATGTAGTGTCATTTGCCAGCTTTTGGCCCATATCCTTGTTCATATATCCATCCAGCTGTCTTTTAAATGTTGTAATTGTACCAGCCTCCACCTACATCCTCTAGCAGCTCATTCCATAGACACACCACCCTCTGTGTGAAAAAATTGCCCCTTACGTGCCTTTGAATTCTTTCCCCTCTCACTTTTAACCTATGCCCTCTAGTTTTGGACTCCCCTATCCTGTGGAAAACATCTTGGCTATTCACCCTATCCATGCTCCTCATGATTTTATAAAATTCTATACGGTCACCCCTCAGCCTCCGACACTCCAGGGAAAAACAGCCCCAGCCTATTCAGCCTCTTCCTACAGCTCAAACCCTCCAATCCTGGCAACACCTTTGTAAAACTTTTCTGAACCCTTTCCACTTTCAGAACATCCTTCCTATATCAGGAAGACCAGAACTGAACACCGCATTCCAAAAGTGGCCTCACCAGTGTCCTGTATGGCCAAAACATGACCTCCCAACTCCTATACTCAATGCACTGACCAATAAAGGCAAGTGTATCAAATGTCTTCTTCATGATCCTGTCGACCTGCGACTCCACTTTCAAGGAACTATAAACCTGTACTTTGAGGTTTCTTTGTTCAACAACGCCCCCATTAGGACTGTCCCATTAATTTTAAAAATCCTGCCCTGATTTCCCTTTCCAAAATATAGCACCTCACATTTATCTAAATTAAACTTCATCTGCCGCTCCTCAGCCCATCAGCCTATCTGATCAAGGTCCCGTTGTACTTTGAGGTAACTGTCCACTACACCACCAAGTGTCATCTGCAAACTTACTAAGCATACCTCCAATATTCACATCCAAATCATTTATAGAAATAACAAGTGAAGATTTTTTTTTCAAGTGCGTTCAAACAGAGAACATACCTGACTGGACCAGAGGTCTCCATTGCTCTAAAAGGAAATAGTGAAATTAATAAGTGTGAATAAAACCCACTCAACAGATTTTGCATTATCAACAAATTTTCTTTTCATGCCAGAGTTTTCTAAATGAATAAAAGTCACATGTTTTTTAAGTTATGGCAGCAACAACTGATGCATTGTTAAGAAAGTCTTGCGAGGGTGTGATGTCCTGACCTCTGGGCAGCATTTCTGATCAACATTGTAAATACCGATGCCAGCAGTTCCCATTCTATTTTCCTACGTCAACATCTAGCCATCTAGCGGCACCATGGAGTGAGTTTCAGAAGTTCTCCACTTCAAATCTGTTGACATGTAGATATTTGATAAAGAACATGTAAGAGTATATTTTCCAGAAGCACTCGAGGATTAGCCACCTGCTATAGAATTGCCTGAGTTTCCATCTCAAACGAAACATGAAGAGATGGAAATTGGACCCATTGCCCAGAATCATTTTATAAAAGCTAGCCTTGCCACCCTGATGCAAATTAAAAATCCAATCCATGATCATGAACTGGGACGTGAAGAATCTCACATGATCAATTCAAAGTGAATCTAGAGTTTGAATTATTTCAAACTCTACAATTTCAGCTGAAAACGAGGGGTCCAATACTCAGGTCATTTTTCACAAAGCCACCATTTGAAGCCATGGTGATCTCTAGATGTTCATACTGTCATGAAAGTCTGCAGCTCTGTCTACAAATATGTGTCAGGAGACAGGTTGATTGCAACATCAGGAGGGAAACCAGTCATTCCAAGCTTGTTATACCCGAGTGAGGAAAAGAATGGTCCAGACCAGAACCTGGTTTTATGCTTATTTACTAACTGTAGCCAAGCTGAAGACGAAGTCACATTTTTACTGACAACTAACTCACCAAATTCAGTGAGTAGCTTCTGATAATCTGCAAGTAAGGAATGATCAGAAATAGTTAGAGCAAGAAAACTAACATCTTCAAACAAAATGAATGATTTTATAAACAATTGACTATAAGATATTACCAACACGTAAAAATTTCAATATCAACAGACATTTCCAAATGCTGACTTCAAACGGAAATTAACTGACCTGTGTTCATATACTATCTTCTAACACTTTACCAAGTGATTTACAAATGATGGCACAAAGATAATGACGTCGATTTGAAACAAACTGTAACTCTATTTTTCTGTCTCAACTGATGCTCCCAGACCTGCCGACTTTCTTCAGCACTTTCTGTTTTAAATCACTAACCAATCATTTTGCACAAGGTAAGAGACAGACACAGAGAGAGAGAGAGAGATATGGATAGGCAGAGACAGCAAGAGAGACACAGACAGGCAGACAGAGTAAGACAGTCAGACAGACAGAGTTAAGTGGACAAAGAATACAGAGAGAGAGAGATTTGAGAAGACAGAATATAGGAAGAGGAAGAGGGAATGAACAAAGTGGAGAGATGGAGAGACATGACTAGGAGGAGAAGAGAGAGGGAGATGGAGAGATATGAGTAGGATGAGAAGAGAGGGGGCAATGGGGAAACATGAGAAGAGAAAGCGAAGGCAAAGAAGGAGATCAGAAGAAATAGAAAGAGAAGGAATGAAAAAGAGAAAGAAAGAAAGGACATGGGGAGCATTAAGAGCAGAGAGACAGGAACAGATGCTGAGGAGCAGAGGGTGACAATGGGAGAGGAAAGCGAGAAAAAACATGAAAAGAAAGTGAGACTGAGAGATTGAAAATAAAAATTAGTGAAGAGAGAAGCATTTGCTGTGTCCGGGTTTTCTACCTGTTCTCTGTCAGAGCATACACCATCACAGTCCCCTCCCCATCCCAGTGTAGAGGTGAAGTTTACTCCTCAAGGCCCACACACAGTCACATACCTGCTTTGTCTGACTCCCTCACTTCATCTGTAAGACAGAATCAAGAGCTTAGCAACAACATGGAACAATAAACCAGGTGAGATTTTATACAGTGCTAGTGAAAAGGGTAAAGCAAGGCTAAAATGTGTGCTCCTCAACACTGATAATGTGATTGAGAAACAGCTCCCCAGCCCAAGCACAGGCCGAGAAAACAGTCCCCAACCCATCCACAGACTGACAAAGTGCCCCAGGCCGAGCACAGACTGAGAAACAGCCCCCAGCCTGAGCGTAGACTGAGAAACAGCCCCCAGTCTGAGTACAGACTGAGAAAACAGCCCCCTGTCCAAGCACAGACTGAGAAACAGCCGCAGCGAATATGCATTTTGTTCGAAGTGACCATCAATGTAAATTTAAAATTCGATATAACCACTTACCAATTTCTTTCTTGAACTGCTCATGTTCTGTAACAGACAAGGGAGAAGTATCAATTACAAACCTCAATTTCACAATGTCACCATCTTCTTCATCTCGTATTCTTTGTTGCCCTCTGCACTCTACATTGAACTCTCTGCTCTGAGCTCAGTCTCCATCAGCTGGTCTCACTCGGTCTGTGAGAAACCAGCAGTGGCCAGTGGTAGCACCAACCACCACAAGCTGGAGCAGTGGGTAGTGCAACATCGATCCATTGGACTGCTCTCTGTGCCAGCTGTATCCGTTCTGCAAGCCCCCACCTACATCAGAAATCATCTGTCCAAATGCCCGGGTCACCATTGGGTCAGGCCAACATTGGTGTTTGCTGGGGAGTGAAGAGTTTCTGCTATAGGAAAGGTGTTGGGACACTTGAAAGGGTACAGAAAAGAGTTACAAAGATGTTACCAGGGTTGGAGGGTTTGAGCTACAGGGAGACACTGAAGTGGTTGGGGCTATTTTCCCTGGAGCGTTGGAGGCTGAGGGGTAACCTTATAAAAGTTTATATAATCATGAAGGACATGGAGAGGGTAAGTGGCCAAGATGTTTTCCCCAGGGTAGGGGAGTCCAAAACTAGAAGGCATAGGTTTAAGATGACAGGGGAAAGATTTAAAAGGGACCAAAGGGGCAATTTTTTTGCACAGAAGGTGGTGAGTGTATGCAATGGACTGCCAGAAGAAGCGGTGGAGGCTGGTACAATTACAACATTTAGGATTTATAAATAGGAAGGGTTTAGAGGGATATGGACCAAATGCCGGCAAATTGGACTAGATTACTTTAGGGTATCTGGTCAGCGTGGACGAGTTGGCCTGAAAGGTCTGTTTCCATGCTGTACATCTCTATGACTCTGTCTCACTTCCCTCCAGAGTAGGGAGGTGACCAGAAGGCATTAACCCAGAGGTTAAATATTTGTAACATAAACAGATCTTTACTGCTCATCCTTCCCTGCCATAGGGAATCAACTCTCCAGAAATGACTGGCAAATATCTTTGTCACAGTGACCAATGCCCAGGAATGGGAGCTCACAGACATTACACATTGTGTGGATTATTTGAATGTTTTTGAACTCTTAAAACAAAGTGGGGGATAGGGAAGGCCTGCTTGATTGGTTACAAGGAATTGGAGGCACAAAGTCACAAGTTGAAACCTCCAGGAGTGCATCAGATCAGAATTGGTAACACATCTGCTAGTCCTCTCCTCCAGCAGAAACTCCCATTCCTCAGCTCTTTGCTTACCTGCATGAATGGCGGCCTTCTCCTTTTCTGTAAAAGGATAAAGAAACAGAGATATTAAAGCATAGAAGCTTCCAGAAGCTTTCACCACTTTGTGTGAACACTGTTCAGGTCTCCCCTCACCCTGCACAGGTCAGCGATGAGATTATCCATTCCACCACCCACTGTTCTGTCCCGTCCCTGCCAGGAATGTCAGTGTGGAACCTTAATTCCTCAGAGATCCACGTAATCCAACGTTTCCCAATTCCCATCCCCACCACTCCCTCAGAGGGAAAGGGCAGCAAGAGCTAATTGGTTAACTCAATACTGTCCTGGCAAGCAAGACCATCTCAGGTAGCACATACCATCATTGTGTCTGTCATTAACCTTACCAAAATATTACACTATCTGGGCGAGAGTCTGAGGCCGAGAGTCAGGGCACAAAATTAAAACATTAGCAGTATCAGGAGACCCAAGACAGGACAGCGCTAAACTCCCTCAACACTGTCCCTATCAGACATTGTCAGGACAGGTACAGCACAGGTTAGATACAGTGTAAAACCCATTCTTTCACATTGTCTCATTAAATATTCACAGGTATATAGCATGGACTATACAGAGAGTGAAGCTTCCCCTATATTATCCCATCACACACTGCCAGGTCAGGTAAACTACAGGGTTGGAATCAGAGTAAAGTTCTGTCTGCAGTGTCCCCATCAAACACTCCCAGGACAAGTAGAGCACAGGTCAGAAACAGAGTAAACCTTATCCTTCTACACTGTCCCATCGCATACTCTCAGGACATGTACAGCATGGGCTAGATATAGAGTAAAGCTCTCACTACACTATTCCCATCAAATACCCTTAGATACATCCAGCAACAACAAACCCATTTAAGCTGATAGCACCAGAAACAAACTTGGGATAGTCCTCCACATGGCTTTTAGCTTTTAATGGCCATGTGATGCTAGTGAAGAAACCAGTGCTGAACATGAGTTGAAAACCCAATCCCAGAGTGTTTATGATTTGGAAATAATCTCTTACCAAACTCCTGCTGAAGCTCCTTACATTCTGAAGAGAAAAACAGACAAGGCAAAACCACGTCATTTATTATATCAAAAAAGTCACTGAAAAACTGAAAATCATTACCCAATCAGAGATTTTTTGAAAGAGAATATAGTTTAGAAAAAAAAAGCAATTAAAAGAAATTGTTATCTGAATGATCCTTGTGTGACATTGCTCACTTGTCAGATAATACACTGCATGTATTTTACACAACAACAATTTACATTTATAAAGTGGCTGTTTTTCAACAACATCTCAAAATGCTTCAAATATTATAAATAAAAATATGACAGGTAACTAAAAGCTTATCAAACAGGGACGTTTTTATGATGTGTTTTAAGGATGAAAGTGAGATGAGGATGCAGGAGTAGAGTTTGGAACTGAGGCAACTGAAATTACATTCTCCAATGAAGGAACATTATAATTTTTCGTGTGCAAAAGGCCAGAATTAAAGGAGCACAGGAATCTCAGAGTTACAGAGTAGAGAGGGCAAGGACATGAAGGGACCGCAAGACTTGAATGAGAAATTAGGAATGGAGACATTGTTTAATGAGCAGCTAATGTAGGTCAGTAAGCAGGTGAGTGGAACTTAGGATGAGTGAAGACATGGGCAGCAGAGTGTTGGATGGCCACAAGTTTACAGGTTAAAATGTCAGAAACCAGTCAGGGTGTGTAGAATTAGATGAAATTGTGTGTTGTCAGGAATGCATTGTTCTCCTGCTGTAGTGAGGTTTGTATTCCTCACATCAGAATGTCAAAGATTAGAAATAACTAGAAAATACTGAAATATGGTAGACGTTACTTTATTTGGCTATTTGTAGAATTGTGAAGAGAATCGATTGTGAAATCAGCGACTGATTCACAAACACATGCCCAAATTTTAAAAAATGACATGTGATTCGTTGAATTGCAGGGAGGAGGAGGAGTAAATGTTACTGTTAAGATTATCCCTCTGGTTAGAACCTTGCGATGAGCTTCAGGCATCCTGCTCAAGTTTCATAAGTCTTTTTATCAAAGTCAACAAAATCGCAGGAATCTGGAGAGTAATTTGCCGATCATGCTCTGATTAGACTCTACCCGCATAAACTCGGTGCTTCTTTTGAAACCGATGCTGACTCTGTCCTTCCAGCATTTGCTGACGGTTTTGATCAGCGAGCACTTTAGGCGTTGGTGAAGCCAGTGGTCTTATTGCACTATTAATAAATAGCTGAAGACTGTTGATATTGAAACTTGCTCATTTCAACCGGCATGTATTTCCAGATATCCGCAGATCTGTTGATATCAGCTGAGGAAATTCCTGGGAAAACAGCTTCTCGAGGATCCCAGTTTTGAGATCGGTGAATGTGAACAGCTCACGTTGAAGAATTGGCTAAATTAGCTCGCCCACTTCACACACAGTCACAGGAGAGCATTATAATTTGGTGTTGGTTTTAATGGAACAACTTGTGATAAGGCCATTAACAGTTTTTTACAAACCTGTTAAATAGTGTTCAGACATTCTGACACTGAAATAAAATATTACAATCCAAATAATGTGTGTTCTCATAACTCACCTTGTTTCCCTTTTTGCTTAGCGATCACTGAAATGAAAAACAAACAACAATGTGATTCAGAGTTGACAGTAACCAGGTCAACTCTTGTCTTACTCTTACTCCCAGAATGACACAGGCTCAAACCCACTCCCTCACCCATCACCCACTTTACAGCAGACCCGTTGGAGGATCTGCATGAGTTCCACATTGTTCCAAAACTGCTTCTCTCCTACTAGGGTCTGGTCCCAGTCAGAGTTACCATCCAGCTTTCCCCATTGCTTTCCCATTCTCTTACTGTGGGGTTAATCAATCCACAACTCCGTCTTTTCCATCACCTTTATCCAATTGGTTTCAGGTTCTTACCAAGCGCCTGGTGAAGTCTTCCATACTCTGCAAAAAAGTGAAAACACCTCAGTGAGATGACAAATAAAATGACCATTTGTTATCTCCGTTTGAAATTGACCCGAGTCTTGGATGTGCTGTGAACTGCCCGGACACACAGACACACAATCAGGGTATTAATGGAACCACCTCCACCATCCCTAGGTTTCTGATCACGTACCTTTATCTGCCTTCATTTTTTCTTGCTCTGAAAGTTTAAAAAAAAATCAATGTGAGAAATACGGAGGATTAATTTGGATTTAAATAACAGTTACAGTGTGTCCTCCAGTGTCTTGTAGAAACAGAACTGTCGAATTAAGGTGTTATGGACCAGACTCAAACCCCCTCAAATATATCAAGGAGATAGCATAGACCTTAATTTTTATCTTATTTCAAGGCAAGGTAATGCACTACTTTGAAGATGTGATTTGATTGTTCAAATTACTAGGCTTTAAGCTAAACATACTTTGTTCCTATACTACAGCTAAAATACAAACAAAGCAAAGAATAATTGTCCTACAAGACTTAATAAAATAATATATCATTTAACTACAGCTCATCAAATGTTCTAATATGGCAGCACCCCATAAACACACCCTTTTCAAAGGCAAGTTCGGTAAAACAGATTTCCCTCACTTGCTATGTCCTCCAGTCCAGGAGAAGGAACACCGACAGAATGAATCTAGCAGCAGAGAGAAAACTCAAGCATTTGCAGCTCTAAAGAGAGAGACTGTATTTAGCAGCTTCATTCCAAAACCCCAACTTCAACAAGTGAAAGCAAAACTAAGACTAAAACCCTTGGTCTGTGTGAGCCTGACTCCACACATTCATGCTTCTTTTGCCTAATATAAAAATAAACTCAAAGTTATTTACTCTGCTTTCCAGGAGCAGATACCTCGTCACCAGGTTTACAATGTCCCATCTAAGAAAAACCAAGACAAAACAAATCCCTCACAAAAGCATATCTCATCACAAAGGAAACAGAACAGTATAGATTTGATGGGCTGAAAGGCCTCTTCTGTACTGTATCCTTCTGCAGCAACTAATCCATGCACAGCAAGATTCCACAAACAGTAACCAGGACAATTACCAAATCAACAGATTCCTGTGATTCCACTATAAAGTGCTAAATATTGGCTAGGACTCCGGGGAGAAGTTCTCTGTTCTTCCTAGAGATACAGCTAAGAGCTACGAAATGTTCAAAAGCATGCGAAGTCTTGCATTAAAGTCTGATGTAAAAGACAGTGCCTCTGACAGTGTAGCACTCCCTCAGCTATGCGCTGAAGTGTCAGCAACAGCTTTGTGCCCAAGTCTTGGATTGTGACTTGATGCCAGAAGCTCATGACGGAACCTCAGTTCACCCATGGGTGAACCATAGAGTTCACCTTTGCAACAGACAGAAACTGACCATTCTAATATTGTACTGTATTGACAGTCTCCTTAGATTCTCAAAGCTAACTCACTGGCCATTCTGAAATCCATCTTTCCCATTCAGGTCTGTGATGAAGAGAATTTCCTCACTTAAAGGGTTGTGAATCTTAAGAATTCTTTACCACATCAATCCAAAATACCGAAAAATAAAATGGTAGAGTCTTTACATGGGATAGTGCAGGGAAGTAGATTCATCATGATCAGACTGAACAGTGAAACAGCTCAAGTCAAGTGGCCGACTCATGCTCCCAGTCCTTGTTTTTTATGTACGTCACTTTCAATAAAGAACATTGGGACATCCTCAGAATGTGAAAGGTGCCATAGAAATGCAAATCTTTCTTATTATTCACGCCATGGTGACCTTCAAACCCAATCTATTTGTAATCCGTTATATCACCAGACCTGGAATTACAGTTTCACAAATGTTCTTCACCCAGATGTGATGATATGGATTTCCCACTCCCATCACATTTAACTCTGCTTTGAATGGTTACTCACCGACTTCTTCCATCAGCTTTTGATGTTCTGTAACAGATCAAAAGAAAACATTAAATCAGCACAGCCCTTCACCTCTCACACTGAACCCTGTCCCATTCCCAATGCAGCATGCATCACCTAAATCACATTGCCCACTCTCACATTGTAAGATCAGGGTGAGAGAGGAGGAGGAGGGAGAAAGCAGGAAGAGGGAGAGAGGAGGAGGAGAAGGAGGAGAGGGAGGAGGGAAGAGAGAGGGGGGAGAAAGGGAAGAAGAGGGAAGAAAGGGAAGAAGTGTGGGAAGCGGGGGGAAGAGAGAGGTGGGGAAAAAGAGATGTGGCAGAAAGAGATGGAGGGGGAAAGAGATAGAGGGGGGAGGGGGGGAAGAGAGAGGGGGAAAGAGTGGGGGGAAGAGTGGGGGCAAGGGGGGCAAAAGAGAGGGGAGAAAGAGAGAGTTATGAGAGAGGAAGAGACAGAAAGGGATAGAGAGTCTTGGAGCATGGGGTTGCATGGTTTTTTTTCCTATTCATTTGTGGGATGTGGGTGTCGCTGGCTGGCCAGCAATTATTGCCTGTCCCCAGTTGCCCTTGAGAAGGTGGTGGTGAGCTGCCTTCTTGAAGCTCCTTCTGTGGGTTGTCCCACAATGCCATTCGGGATGGAATTCCAGGATTTTGACCCAGCAACAGTGAATGAATGGCGATATATTTCCAAGTCAGGATGGTGAGTGGCTTGGAGGGGAACTTGAAGGTGGTGGTGTAGCCACATATCTGCCGCCCTTGTCCTTCTAGATGGAAGTGGTTGTGGGTTTGAAAGGTGCTGTCTGAGGGTCTTTGGTGCATTTCTGCAGTGCATCTTGTAGATAGTACACACTGCTGCTACTGAGCATTGGTGGTGGAGGATGTGGTTGCTTGTGGATGTAGTGAAATTCCATTGGGTTGCTTTGTCCTGGATAGTGTCAGGCTTCTTGAGTGTTGTTGGGGCTGCACTCATCCAGGGCAAGTGGGGAGTATTCCATCACACTCCTGACTTGTGCCTTGTAGAATGGTGGACAGGCTTTGGGCAGTCAGGAGGTGAGTTACTCACCGCAGTATCCCTAGGCTCTGGCCTGCTCTTCTAACTGTGTTTGTGCAGTGAGTCCAGTTGAGTCTCTGGTCAATGATAACACCCAGGATGATGATAGTGGGGGATTCAGTGATGGTAACATCATTGAATGTTAAGGGACGGTGGTTACATTGTCTCTTATTGGTGATGGTTATAGCCTGGCATTTGTGTGGTGCGAATGTCACTTGCTACTTGTCAGCCCAAGCCTGAGTATTGTCCAGATCTTGTTGCATTTGAACATGGGCTGCTTCAGTGTCTGAGGAGTCACGAATGGTGCTGAACATTGTGCAATCATCAGCGAACATCCCCACTTCTGACCTTGTGATGGTGGGAAGGTCATTGATGAAGCAGTTGAAGATGGTTGGGCCTGCAGAGATGTCCTGGAGCTGAGATGATTGACCTCCAATGACTGCAACCATCTTCCTATGTGTCAGGTATGACTCTAACCACCGGAGATTTTTCCCCCTGATACCCATTGATTATAGTTTTACTAGGGGTCCTTGATACCACACTCAGTCAAATGCACCCTTGATATCAAGGGCTGTCACTCTCACCTCACCTCTGGAATTCAGCTCTTTTGTCCATGTTTGAACCAAGGATGTAATGAGGTCAGGATCTGTGGCCCTGGAGGAACCCAAACTGGGCGTCACTGAACAGGTTATTGCTGAGTAGGTTTTGCTTGATAGCACTGTTGATGACACCTTCCATCACTTTACTGGTTATTGAAAGTAGACTGATGGGGCAGTAATTGGCTGGGTTGGATTTGTCCTGCTTTTTGTGTTCAGAACATACTTGGATAAATTTCCACATTATCGGGTAGACACCAGTGTTGTAACTGTACTGGAACAGTTTGGCTCCGGGAATGACAAGTTCTGGAGCACAAGTGTTCAGTACTATTGCCGGAATGTTGCCAGGGACCGTATCCTTTGCAGTATCCTGTGTCTCCAACCGTTTCTTGATATCATGTGGATTTGGCTGAACTCTGGTATCTGTAATGCTGGGGACCACTGCAGATGGCTGGATGGATCATCCACTCGGTACTTCCGGCTGAAGGTTGCTGCGAATGCTTCAGCCTTATCTTTTGCACTGATGTGCTGGGCTCTTCCATCATTGAGGATAGGGATATTTGTGGAGCCTCCTCCTTCAGTGAGTTGTTTAATTGTCCACCACCATTCACGAAGGGATGTGGCAGGACTCCAGGACTTAGATCTGATCCGTTGGTTGTGGGATCACTTAGCTCTGTCTATCACTTGCTGCTTTCATTGTTTGGCATGCAAGTAGTCCTGTTTGGTGGCTTCACCAGGTTGATATCTCATCTTCAGGTATGCCTGGTGCTGCTCCTTGCATGCTGTCCGGCACTCTCCATTGAACCAGGGTTGATCCCCTGGCTTGATGGTAATGGTTGAGTGGGGGATATTCTGGGCCATGAGGTTACAGATTGTGCTGTAGTACAATTCTGCTGCTGTTGATGGCCCACAGCGGCTCATGGATGCCCAGTCTTGAGTTTCTAGATCTGTGTGAAGTCTGTCCCATTTAGTACGGTGATAGTGCCACACAACAAGGTGGAGGTTCTTCTTAATGTGAAGGTGGGACTTCATCTCCATAAGGACTGTGCAATGGTCACTCTTACAATACGGTCATAGACAGATGCAACTGCGGCTGGCAGATTAGTAAGGATGAGGTAAAGTATGTTTTTCCCTCACCACCTGCCACAGACCCAGTCTAGCTGCTATGTCCTTTCAGACCCAACCTGCTCAATCAGTAGCACTGCTGCCAAGCCACTCTTGGTGGTGGACATTGAAATCCCCCACCCAGAGTACATTTTGTGCCCTTGCCATCCTCAGTGCTTCATCGAAGACTTATTCAGTATGGAGGAGTACCAATTCATCAACCAAGGGAGGTACGTGGTAATCAGCAGGAGGTTTACTTGCCCATGTTTAACCCGAAGCCATGAGACTTCATGGGGTCCAGAGTCAATGTTGAGGACTCCGAAAGCAACTCCCTCCCAACTGTATACCACTGTGCCACCACCTCTGCTGGGTCTGTCCTGCAGATGGAACAGGACATAATCAGGGATGGTGATGGTAGTGTCTGCAACATTGTCTCTAAGGCACGATTCTGTGAGTACAACTATGTCAGGCTGTTGTTTAACTAGTTTTTGAGACAGGTCTCCCAATTTTGGCACTAACCCCCAGATGTTGGCAAAGAGGATTTTGCAGGATCGACAGGGCTGTTTCTGCCATTGTCTTTTCCGGTGCCTAGGTCGATATCAGGTGATCCACCCAGTTTCATTTCTTTAAGACTTTGTAGCGATTGGCACAACTGAATGGGGCATCACGGTGGCACAGTGGTTAGCGTTGCTGCCTCATAGCGCCAGGGACCTGGATTCAATTTCACTCTCAGGTGACTGTCTGTGTGGGGTTTGCACATTCTCCCAGTGTCTGCGTGGGTTTCCTCCAGGTGCTCCGGTTTCCTCCCACAGTCCAAAGATGTGCAGGGTAGGTGGATTGGCCGTGCTAAATTGCCCGTAGTGTTCAGGGATGTGTAGATTAGGTGGGTGATAGGGGTTGGGTCTGGATGGGATGCTCTGAGGGTCGCTGTGGACTTGTTGGGCCAAAAGGCCTGTTTCTACACTGTAGGGAATCTATGATGAATGGCTTGCTAGGCCATTTCAGAGGGCAATTGAGAGTCAACGACATGCTGTGAGTCTGGAGTCACATGTAGGCCAGACCAGGTGATGGTGGCGGATTTCCCTTCCTGAAGGGCATTGGTGAACCAGATGGGTTTTTCCAACAATCGGCAAAGGTTTCATGGTGTTTAGTAGATTCTTAATTCCAGACTTATTTTTAAATTTATTGAATTCAAATTCCACCATCTGCAGTGGTGGGATTCAAATCCAGGTCCCCAGAACATTAGTTGGTTGCGATAGTCTAGCAATAATACCACGAGGCCATCACCTACCCCCTACAGGTAGGATTTATACTCATAGAATACCCTGACAAGATAATTGAGGGTAGGATTAGGAACTGACACAGGGAGCCTCCTGAGACTGTTGTGGTCAGTAACATATAGGAGGGGTCTGGCCCCTCTCAAGACAGAAACGGTAAAGTTCAGGGTGACAGTGTGAAATTTCTCAACAGCGAGAGTCAATATAACATCAGCACATGTCCCACAGACTGAAGAAACATCACTTACCATAAAGATCTTCAGATTTCCTGAGGCCTAGAAAAGAAAACCAAATAAATGAATGAATCCAATGGGCACCATGACCTCTGGAGATGGTGTCAGTATCGGACTGTCATGAACAGGTTCCTCATTACACACCTCACTAAAAATAAATCCTTATTTCCCCTCAAATATTAACTTGGGGTCTCTCTCTTCACAGATTCTGCCTGATCTGTGGAATATTTCCAGCACTGTCTGTTTTAGTTTGTGTTAACAAATTATTAGGTTCCGTTTATGGATTATTATAGATTCATCAGGGTCATACAGCTGGAAAACAAACCCTTCGGTCCAACTCGTCCATACCGACCATACATCCCAATCTGACCTAGTCCCATTCATCAGCATTTGGGCCACATCCCTCTAAATGATGCTCTGATGAAGCGTCATCTAGACTCAAAACGTTAGCTTGCTTTCTCTCCATGGATGCTGCCTGACCAGCTATGATCTGCCTGATCTCCAGCACTTTTTGTTTTCGGTACAAATTCCAGCATCTGCTGTAATTTGCTCCTCCCTCTAAACCCTTCCTATTCATGTACCCATCCAGATGCCTTTAAAATGATGTAATTGTACCAGCCTCCACCACTTCCTCTGGCAGCTCAATCCATACACACGCCACCCTCTGTGTGAAAAAGTTACCCCTCGGGTCCCTTTCAAATCTTTCCCCTCTCACCTTAAACCAATGGCCTCTAGTTTTGGACTCCCCCACCCTCGGAAAAAACCTTAGCTATTCACACTATCCGTTCCCCGCACGATTTTATAAACTTCTATAAGATGGCCCCTGCCACTGACACTCCAGGGAAAAACGTCCCAGCATATTCAGCCTCCCCCTATAATTTGAACTCTCCAGTCCTGGCAACATCTTTGTAAATCCTTTCTGGACCCTCTCAAGTTTAACAGCAGCCTTCCTACAGAAGGGTGACCAGAATTGTACGCAGTATTCTATTCTTAAAGAAAAGTTGTCAGTGTTGGAGCAGAGGTCATCACCTTGAATCTCATTCTGTAATTTCCGAAGGTACCACACTGCGACAGTGACTAATGCAACAATCAGAGCAAACAGGATCCAGAACGTTATCTGCCATCCGGAAACATGGGGGAAGAAGGAATCTGTGTGGAGAGAAAGGGAAGGGGGTGAGAGGAAGGCAAGGAAGGGGAGGGGAAGAGAGGGACACAGAGAGGAGAGAGAATGAGAGGAGAGAGAGTGGGAGAAGGAAAGGGAGAGGGGAAAGGTTGTGTGGGTGTAAGGGAGAATGGGGGAAGCGAGAGGGAATGAGAGGGAGGAGGAGAGGAAGGGGAGAAGATTGTGAGGGAAAGGGGAGGGGGAGGGGGAGGGGGAAGAGGTAGTAAGCAAGAGGGAGAGAGAGAGAAGAGAGACAGAGCAGGAGATGGCAAGGATAAGCGGGAAGGGGGGAGAGGGAGAGACAAATTTGACAGTGAGAGAGGGGGAGGGCATAAACACAGAGGAGAGAGGGAGAGGGGAAGGATGGAGAATGAGGGAGAGAGACGAGAGAAAGAAAGAGAAAATAAGAGTTTGAGGAGGACAGGGGGCAAGATGGAGGGGTGGAAGATGGAGAGGGTGAGAAGGGAGAAGAGAGACAGAGAGAGATCGGGGTTGAGGGAAAGGAGAAGGGGGTGGACAGTGAGGAGAGAGAGAGTAAGAAAATGAACCATTCAGCTATTTAAGTTAACACAAACCCATTGTCACACCCTTTAGAATGATAAGGAGTCATACCCTTTACTCCAACTCAACCATGCCAACCAGATATCCTAAACTGATCTCGTCCCATTTGTCAGCAATTGGCCTAAATCCCGCCAAACCCTTCCTATTCATATACCCATCCAAATGTCTTTTAAATGTAATTGTACCAGCCTCCACCACCTCCTCTGGCAGCTCATTCCATACTTGCACCATCCTCTCATGAAACATTGCCCCTTGGGTCCCTTTTAAGTCTTTTCCCTCTCACCTTAAACCTACACCCTCTGATTTTGGACTGCTCTACCCTGGGGAAAAGACCTTGACCCTTCAACCTATCCATGCCCCTTATGTACCCAAATTCAATCACCCCTCCCCCTTCATCAGCGCCTCACCCTCCATTACTCGTCTCCCTCCTCCCAACCTCCATTCCACTATCTCCCTCTCCCTTCATCACCCACACTCTCTCTCTTCATCACATCTCTCCCTTTTTGAAAACTCCGTTCAACCCTCTCCCTCCCAACTTCCACCACACTCACTCCCTCCCCTGAACCTGCATCACATCCACTCCTTCTCCATCTATTGCAGCTTCACACTCTTCCTCAAGCTCCATCACTCTCTCTCTCCCTCCCGTGAAATGCCTTTTGTTGCCACAAGAGGCAAGCCAAAGCCATGAGGGGCCTCTTTTTGACACTTCTGGCTAAACAGGGCCACAAGGAGCCAGTTTCAATCACAGAGTTTCCTCAGGATTTTATATATTTCTCTACAATCAGATTCATATCCTTGCCCCCAGTTTGCTGTGTATCTGTGAAGGTCTTCTCCCACTGTGACCGACCTGCAATCTGGATGTGAGCCTCCTGTTTCTCCTCCAGGATCATGTTATTAATGATACAAGTGTACTTGTTGGTGGACTGCTTGGGGATCTCGATGAAGCTGCTGACCGTGAGCAGTTCCTGAGTGTCCGGCTGGTATGTGGTTTGTTGCTGGGCTGCTATGTTCTCTCCGTCTCCATCCGTCCACAGGATGGGTGGCTCTGGGTACCACCCTTCGGATCTGCAGCCCAGTCTGATGCCATCCCCCGTTTGGCCCTCCATCTCAATCCTGGGCTGGCGGCCTGTACCTGCAATCACAGAGACATCAGGAAGGGGAGTTGGCCGCAAAGCCTGTTATGGCCTCCCTACACCACTCAGTCAGATCGCAGCTGACCTGTACTTTCTGGAGGGCAACCACGATTCGATCACAATCTGTCAGGGCAAGAAGTTGGGGGAGGGCAGAAGACACTGCACTCAGAGAGATGAGAGAGGGACAATCCAGACAGGAATGACCCATAGTCAAATTATTCATCAGGACAAAGTTTCTACAAATGGTCCTCGTTTCTGGGCCTTCAAAGAGGCTACAGGATCAACATTGTTTTTTAAAACTCTCGAACAGGACCTTTTAAAAGCTCATAAACATTGCAGAAACATTTAATTCACTATGAAGCTGACCTGCGTACACCAGAAAATTGTTCTCTGGCATTGTTTTAAAGTAACTTTAACCAGATTTGAATCTGGAATACTCCAAAAGATCATAAGATTTAGGAGCAGGATTAGGTCATTCAGCCCATTGAGTGTGCACTACATTCAGTCATGGCTGATATGTTCCTCAACCCCATTCTCTTGTCTTCTCTCCATAACCCTTGATCTCCCTCTGAGTCTATCTATCTCTATTTTAAATGGACTCAATGATGTGGTCTCCAAATCCCTATGTGACAATGACTTCCACAGATTAACCGCACACTGGCTAAAGAAATGCCTCCATGTCTCAGTTCTAAAGAGTCATACTTTCACTCTGAGGCTGAGCCCTTGGGTCCTAGTCTCCTCTACTAGTAGAAATTCTATCCTGGCCTCTCAATATCCTGTAAATTTCAATCAGACCCCACCCTCATCATTGCAAACTTCACCGAGTACAAACCCAGGGTCCTCAACTGCTCCTGATTTGAAAAGTTCTTCATCCCCATGGTCATCATTATAATGTCCTCTGGAGCCCCATCCAATGCCAGCACATTCTTCCTTAGATATAGGGCCTAAAACCCCATACAATATTCAAAATAAGGTCTGAGCAGAGCCATATACAGCCTCAGCAGCACATCTCTACTCTTGTATTCTAATCCCCTTGAAATGAATGCCAACATTACATTTGCCTTCCAAACTGCTGGTTGAACTTGGATGTTAACCTTAAGAGAATCCTGACTTGGACTCCGATGGTCCTTTGTACTTCAGATTTCCAAACCTTTTCCCCATTTAGAAAATAGTCTACACCTCTAACCTTCCAATAAAAAGCGCATAACCTCAGAAGGTAGACTCCAGTCTCTGTTCAAAATTTCGGTGACTAAACATATTTGCAGGTGCACATGAGCTGGTTAGTGTTTTGCAAATCACAAATGGATTTTCCTGAAACTTATGTAATTCAACTCAGACCAAAGACACAATTTTTTTAAGAGTAAGTTAAGACTGGACTGGCAATTATGCTGAAGACCAAAACTCTAGACCAAAGTTTCAAAGAAGTAAAGTCTCAATCCCAGATGGGAAGAATGGATGGAATCCTCTGAATATTTCCCTCTTTGAAGAGCCATATTACACTTGAAATCTTAACTTGGTTTCTCTCTCCACGGATGCTGGTAGACCTGCTGAATTTCTCCAGCACTTCCTGTCTTTATTTCAGGTTTCCAGCATCTACAATACTTTGCTTTTAGTTAAAAGTACATGATTTTACAGTTAAGGCAGAGATGAAGAAACATGTTTTCTCTTATAGGATCATTTAGTCTGCGGAATTGCATTCCCCACATCCAAAACAACCACTCAGACATTCTGTTTGCATTTCCGGAATCTACGTTATAGGAGGGATGTCATTTTGCACTGGAGAGAGTGCACAGGAGAATTACCAGAACGTTGCCTGGGCTGAAGAGTTTCAGTTATGAACAGAGATTGGACAGACTGGAGTGGCTTTCCTTCGAGCAGAGGCAACTACGGAGGGGGGCAAACACAATGATTAGAAGATGCATTAAATTATGAGGAGCAAAGACAAGGTAGACAGGAAGCAACTTTTTTTTCCCTTGGTGAAGTGATCAATGGCCCGTGGACACGGATTTAAGGGAAGGGGTAGGAGGTTTCAAGGATATGTGAGGAAAAATATTTTCACTCAGAGGGTGGTGGGAACCCAGAACTCTGTAAGGGTGGTAGAGGCAGAAATCCTCAAAACATGTAAGAAATATTTAGATGTACACTTGCAATGCCAAAGCATTCAGGTCTACGGGCTAAGTGTTGGACCGTAAGATATATGAGCAAATTTAGGCCATTTGATATATCGTGTCTGTTCCACTATTTAATCATGGCTGATATGTTTCACAGACCCGTTTTCCTGCCTTCTCCCCATAACCCTTGATCCCCTGGCCAGTCAAGAATCCATAAATCTCTGTCTTAAATACACGTAATGACTTGGCCTCCACAGCCCTCTGCGGCAATGAGATCCATAGATTAAACACCCTCAGGCTGAAGAAATTCCTCCCCGTCTTAGTGCTAAGTGATCATCCCCTTGTCCTGAGACTGTGCGCCCATGCTCTAGATTCCTCCGTCAGCAGAAACAGCCTCTCAGTGTCGATCCTGTAGGGGTCTCGAACTATTTGCATTCCATCAAGGTCTAGGTCAATGTCCTTTACCTCAACAAACTCATCACTGAGCAAGTCAAATAGGGTGTTTCCAAAATGGTCACTAACCTGTCACATTCAGCATGAGCTTAAACTCCCGGTGTTTTTCATCAGATGCCACAAAGCACTTGTACTGTCCCCTGTCGGAGACTCGGACATCCTTGAGCCTAAGAGAGACATTCCCCTGTGCCACTTTGTCGAGAAACAGTTCGGTCCGGCCTCTGTAGGCCGAGGGCTGGTGTATCAAATCGTCCGCTCCCTCCTTGTACATGTGGACAGGTGAGTTGTAGCCATATGCCACATTGATCCAGCGAACTTCCATATTCTGTGGGATTCTGGCTGGCACCAATTGACATTCCAGGACAACGTTGCTCCTGAAAACCCCAACTATGGGTTCAAGTGATCCCATCACCGCAAAATCTACCACTGCTTCTGTAGTAGCCACTGGAGAGAGAATCAGATCCATTGCTCATCACTCAGGTTATTACAGCTATATACTATTGTTTTTAACAGAGAAAGAGGGAGAGAGAGAGAGAGCCTGCAAGGGATAGAGATGGAGAGGGAGGAACAGAGAGACAGGCAGGGAGGGGCAGAGAGGGGGAGGCAGAGGGACAGCGAGGTATGGAGATGGAGATTGGAGACAGAGGGCCAAAAAACAGAAACGAGGAATAGAGAAACACGAAAAGTGAGAAACAGAGGAAATTTTAGCTCAGGGTGCAATGACTTGTCAAGTGATCCCAACAACAAAATATGAAAGAGAAAACAGGTTTCTGTTATCTTTCAAATTTACTTCCCTACCATGAAAGATCCAAATGAGAATCTGGAGCAGGAGAAACATTCCGGAAATTCAGAAATCCAGCGTCAGCAGATCCAGGGAATAAAATATCGTAGCTGTCTAAAATATTACCGGAGAATTTACATTAATAACATAGACACTGGGGAGAGTCAGCAATCAACAGGCACACTGGGCAGTCAACTAGAACGGCAACATTTGGGTAGGTACCTCCACGTGTACCAGCATAACACATAAATATACTGAAATATACAATACATGTACTGACATACACATGTAGGCTTCCATGTAGTTCCATTGCATGCCTTCCCAATTTTCATATTTTTCTCCTCTCTGTTTATAATTAATTACAAATTGGGTATCTATGACTCTTCCAAAACTGGCAAGTAATAGAAATTTGCTGGACTGAAGTTACTTGCCATGGAGCAAATGATACTGAGTGGAGACATGACTGAGATGTATAAAAAGATGAGGGACACTGACAGAGTAGTCAGGAAGAAACTTTTCACCTTGGTGGAGTAATCAATCACTGGAGCCAGAGATTTAAGGTAAGGGGCAGGAGGTTTAGACAGGTTGCGAGGAAAATCTTTTTCACACACAGGGTGGTGGGAATCTGGAACTCACTAAAGTATGGTAGAGGAAGAAATCCTCATAAGATTTGAGAAGTATACAGATGTACACTTGTGAGGCCAAGGCATACAAGGCCAGGTGCCGGGATATGGGATTAAAACACATTTCGGTGGTTATTTTGGACCAACACAAACTCAATGGACCAAAGGGTGTTTGTTTCTCCTGTGGACCTCTATGGCTCATGTGTCAAACAACATAATTTAATATACCTCATGCTAACCCAACTATTATTGCTCATGTAGTTAGCTATTAAACCTATCTAAAAATGATGCAGGAGCATATAGTGGGAGCTATCTGACATAATCAAATGTGCATCTCTGGCTGCGCATTTTATAAAAAGTGTAGATCTACAGGAAATTACAATGTGCATCAGAATATTCCTACTTCATGCAAACTAAATCTGTAAATGATAAATGAAGAATCTTTATTCATACCAATGCACCATATTCATTTTCAAAACATAACTGTTACGGAGTTGTGGGTGCCTAAGTATAATCAAAATGAGAACGGAACTACTGGAGGGACTGATATCTCTGAAGGTGGCAAAAACAAGGGATCAAATAAATGTTTTGATAAAATCACATTGATCAGAGTATACTTCTAATGCTGCAGCACTCCCTCAGTGCTGCACTGGAGTGTCAGTCTGGGTTTTTATGATCATGTCCTGGAGTGCCGCTTGAACCCACAATCTCTTGACTTAAAGGAGGGAGTAAGAACAACTGACTCACAGCTGACACTGGGACTGCTGCCAGCCTTCTCGAACCTGTTCGTTGGATCCAAAACTGCTTCAGCGACAGGAAATAAAGGGTAATGGTCAATGGGTGTTTTTGTGAATGGGAAACATTTCTCAATGGTGTTCCATAGGGCTCAGTGTTGGGCCCCTACCTGATAATGGTACATATTATTAATTTAGACATAAATGTTGGAAGCATGATTGGGATAATTCCATGCATGAAAAATAGGCCCTGTGATTGACAGGGAGGAGAATGGCTGTCAACTACGGAATGATATCAATGGTTGGTTGAGGGGAAAGAAAAGTGGCTAATGGAATTCCCTCCAGAGTAGTGTGAGGTTATGTACTTGGGAAGAGCAATCAAAGCTGAGGAATACACCACAAACAGAAGGGAATTGAGGGGCACAGAAGTGAAGATCTCAAAGTGCACATCCGCATTCTCAAGATAGTGGGACACGTAGACAAGGAGGTAAAGAAGGCAGACAGGATGCTTTCTTTCATTGGGTGAGGCACTGAGTACAAAAGCAGGAAATAATTGCTGGATCTGTATGAAGACACTGACTAGAGATGGGAATTTTGTGTACAGATCTAGTTAGGTCCTTACAGGAAGGACACAATGGTTCTAGACATAATTCAGAAGATTTAGAAGAATGTTGCCAGTGCTTGGAAATTGCAGTAATTGAACGAAAGATTGAGTCAGTTAGTTTTGTTTTCCTGTCAACGGAGGAGGCTGTAGGGCAACTTAATTAAGGTGTATGAAATAATGAGGTTCTGGGATAGAGTGGACAGGGAAGACATTGTTCCCTTGGCAGTGCAATCAATCACCAGGGAACACAGATTGAAGATGATGGATAAAGGATGATAGGGGACATGAGTGTCATTTTCACTCAGAGGAAATCCTCAACTCATTTAAAAAGACCCTGGATCTGGATGTGCTGGAACCTGCAAGACTATGGACCAGGAGCTGGAAGGTGGTATTAGAATGTTTGGCAGTGTAAAAATTTATTCTGCAGTGGCCCTTTTCTATCCTGTAACTTTTCTCTGGTTTGCCTGGGGCAGGACACAGGAAACAGTGAAATTTAAATCCTGAAATATCCAAATAGTTTACATCAGGACCAGAGATGGGGAGAGTGGAGGAGGGAGACATTGATACCATTCACATCAACCATCCCCTCTCTCTGATTGAGGAAGTTTCTGCTGGATTGCCAGTTGGATTTATTTATGACTGTCTTCTATTGATAACGCCCAGCCACCCACACAAGCAGTGACATCTCCATAACACGGACCTTTGCAAGCTCCTTAAAAACATTAGATAACAAGATGTAGAGCTGGTTGAACACAGCAGGCCAAGCAGCATCAGAGGAGCCAGGAAGGCTGACGTTTTGGGCCTAGACCCTTCTTCAGAAATCAGTGCCTACTATCTCCTTAATAACATTGACAGCTTCTGGTGGAAAGGCTTACATTTATGTAGCACTTTAGATCCACATGCCAAAGCAAACAAAGTACTTGTGGACACTGAGAACAACTCCCCTGCTGGTCTTTGAAATAGTGGCCTTGAGATCTTTTAGATCTACCACCAAGAGGTCAAATGAGATTTTCGATAAAGTCTCAGTAATCAGCGTGCACTCCCTCAGTATGCACTAGAGTCTCAGTTTGAGGTTTCATGGCCAAGTCCCGGAGTAGGGCTTGAATCCACAACCTCCTGATGAAATGGAAGGAGTAACAACACTCGATTCACCGCTGGGCCAGTTACTGGCCTTCTTGAATCTGTTCAATATTCCCGGTAGCCTGTTCCTTTTACAACTTGGAGAGATGGGGAGGGCGGTCTCACGCAAGAATTAAAAGTTTTTTTTAATCATCCGGTCTCTGTTGGAAAGTGGGGATTCCAGTTCAGCGAATCCTGGGACCATCTCGGTTATGCAGTGGGAATCAGTTTTGAGCTGGGAACACCAGCACGGAGTCCCACACGGGAACAGACGGGTTACCATTTACCACCCTTGTCCCCGGGACCCACTCTCCCCTTCACCCAGGGTGTGTGAACCTGCATCCTCCCACAGTCCGGCCCTCCCAGTCTCCGGACCAGGCTTCTGCTCGTTTCCGGGACTGAGTCCCACTTATTTTCCCCAGGACTGAGTGTGAGATCCAGGAGACCCCCGTCGAGAGGGAGATCGGAGTGAATTACATTGAAACAGACAGGAGCTGAAATTGCCCCCAAACTCACTCAGAAAAGAAAATCCAAAAATCGGGAAGGGCGACACACAGAAGCAACGATCAGAGCCTTTCAGTTTCTATTTGATGTCACCTCCGCTTCCCCTTCTGCAAGTGTTTGAGCGGAAAGTTTGAGGGCGTTAATCTCAACAACAGCGGAAGGACGGCCGCGTTTCAGCGTTTAATCCAAAGAATTTGGGCTGAGTTTTCGCCAGTTAATCTCCAGTCCTCCTGCACCCTCCGTCACATTGCAATATTGAAATGTTTGTTAAATTCCTGCCCCATCGGGAGTCCCGCTCAGATTACTTTCCATCATTTGCTGTTTCACTCCCTGCTCCCCTACACGCAGGGCATAGAGACAGACCAATCGGCCCATCAAGTCGGTGAGCACCCATCTAGCCTAAAGCCACCTTCCAAAATTTTATTTGTCCCCTCAGGTACATAGATCATTTTTATTTTAAGTAAGTAATGAGGAGGATTTCTGCCTCTATCCCCCTTTCAGACAGTGAGGTCCTGATCCGGATTCCCAGTCTCTGGGTCTAACACTCCTCAATATCCTCCTATTACTTTACATCCCTTGCCTTTGGTTATTGCCCTGTCTGTTGTCGGATCTGTCTATACTGTTTACCTAGGCCTTTCTCATTATTTCTATACCTCATTTAAACATCTCCTCAGTTTCAAACAAAACAAGTTTATCCCATTGCTAAAAGTCACCAGTCCTACAACACTGTTTTAAATCTCCTCTGCACCCTCACTGGTGTGATCATACCCTTCCTGCAATGAGTTCAAAAGTTGCGCGCAACACTCTGCAGTCTCACGAGATGTTTATATCGTAATAATTTCCTGGCTTTTACACTCTGGGGTATGGCAAATAAAGTATCCCTGATTCAGAGAAATGAACAGGCAGAGAATACAGGAATACGGACAGTGTAGAGGCAAAACGTTTTTTGCTTGGAAAGGCATCATGTGCCCATATAGCTCGGTGTGCCGAATGGCCTGTTCCTGTTCTGTAAAATCCTTTGTTCTTTGTTTGTCACCTTATAACCACATTATCTAGCAGCCCTGCTACCTGCAGAAATT